GTTATTTAACAATCACTAGGGGAGTGTTTTTTAATAAACAAATGCAATATCTCGATAAATAATGCACTTAGCGAGATTTTGAAAAATGCATTGGATTCTGCGTAACGAGGGCTACATTTTCTCAAGATTTCATTGCCGTAGCACGTTTTAATAAATAATTATAAACAATTGTAAAAACGGCCACTTTTAGAGGTTTTTTCGACCTAGAGAATAAACAAGTGGACGAAAAAATATGAAAAAAATACCAGAATAAAGGTCTAGAAAATGCCTACAACTTTTATTTGAAACATTTTATCGTAAAACTTATACTTTACGAGTTAAAAATTATAATATGCTTTTTTGCATTTTTAAAGGCTTATAAACAAAAACGCAGGAACAAAAAACAGTGGCATTTTATGAAAATTAGTTTTTAGGGTACCCAGAATAAGAATCCGTCGTAAAATTCTGGTTGCGAATTTTTTTTTTCAAAACCTTTATTGATTGGACTATTTATCACATTGACGCACTTGAGCCAGACAAGGTTTCCCTAAGGCAGAATAAAGTTATCTATCTATTTAATCTCTCGCTTTCTCTCTCGCTCGCTCTCTCTCTCTCTCTCTCTCTCTCTCTCTCGTTTTCTCTCTCTCTCTCTCTCTTTCGTTTTCTCTCTCTCTCTCTCGTTTTCTCTCTCTCTCTCTCTCTCTCTCTCTCTTTCTCTCTCTGCTGAACCCACGCCAGGCTGGCTTTCGAAGAGGACATAGCACTCAGACAGCATTGTTGGCCCTGATGGATGATGTTCGACAGGCGGTGGACGACCGTCAGATGACTATCTTGGCTCTGTTCGACTTCTCTAAAGCGTTTGACATGGTCCCACATCAACTGCTTCTAATGAAACTTCGCAGATTCAACTTTGGCGACTCAACAATCAAATGGTTTGCCTCATACCTGCGACATCGCAGCCAGGCGGTAACTGACTCCAATGGTTTGGAATCAGCCTGGCTGCCGACTACTTCTGGTGTCCCTCAAGGCAGTGTCCTTGGGCCACTGCTGTTCTCTCTCTTCATCAACGATCTGCCTGACGTCCTCGTTGACTCTAAATGCATGCTCTTTGCCGACGATCTGCAGATCTACAGCTCGTTTTTTCCAACGGACTTTGCGCGAGCACTGAGCGCCTTCAATCGCAATGTCAATGCTGTATCAGCCTGGGCCACTGCTAACGGCCTCTTGCTAAACAAGGCTAAAACACAGGTGATGCTGATGGGTAGTGACGCTTTTTTGGGACGCTTTGATCTCTCCACCACACGTCGGGTGCTCTTGGATGGCCTACCCCTGCCTTATGCGACTGTGGTGAAGTCCTTGGGAGTGTATATTCAGCCGAATCTTGACTCAGGAGCACACGTCAAGCAAGTGGTGAAGCGCGTTCATCGTGTGCTCTATTCACTTCGTCATCACCGCAAAGCACTACCACGACCTATACGCAAGGAACTCGTAGAAGCATTAATCTTCCCCCACTTCGACTATGCGTGTGCAGTCTACAATGATCTGTTTCAATATCAGGAACTCAAACTCCAACGAGCCCTTAATGCCTGTGTAAGATATGTCGTCGATCGCATAGGATGGATGGACCATGTCACGCCTCACCGACTGGCCCTTGGTTGGCTGTCTACTGCCAGACGAAGACAATACTTTATCGCGTCAATTGCTTACACCGTCATCTCATTCAACAATCCCTCTTACTTGCTACCCAGAATCTATAGCCCAATTCAAAATTACAGTCTTTCGCAAATTACTTGACATGGATATAACTGATCACTCATAATTAATACCACTTCATCACCCCCCACACTACCTGCTTCACTATCACTATCACTATTACCGCTGCTACTATCACTCACCTCACAACGCTCATATTCATCTTCATGCTATTTTTAAACTACGCTTTAATTAAACTACTAATGTATCTCCTATTATATTGTTGTTAATTTGATTCAACAATGTATGCTTATTGTAAATACAACTGTGCCAGATGGGGCTTGCCCTGTGGCCGAATAAAGTTATTCAATCAATCAATCAATCTCTCTCACACACACACACAAATAATCTCTGAAAATTTTATTGCGATCTCAAGTCTTTAGATGTATCGTTTCAGCCCTTTAATGCAATCATATTTTGCGTATATCTAAAAAACGATAATAAAAACAACTGCAATTTTTCATCCTCTTTCAATGCCACCCTATAACAGGGGGTGCGGTAATTATTTCATGAAAAGTACATGCCAGTTTGAGTTAAAAAATATGCTCTGGGGACTAAGCTACGACAATTAGAAAATAAGCGAAAATACGTAAAAGAGGCTATTTTTCGCTCTTTGAGGGGCTCAATTTTGATACCCGAAATACATATACCCGAATAACAAACTAAATTTTGAGGCAGATCATGACTCACCACAAAACTTACCAAAAAGTAAAAAATCTGCTCCATAATATTAAATTTTTTGTCTTAATATAAATATGATATGTTGCTTGAGATTTTTTGCACAAAATTGAAAATTTACCCAAGAATAGAGTAGCCGCAAATTCTATTTGTGTATTTTTTTCGTGTTTTCATATCATTTATAACATTCATTAATTATTTTTTTGAAAATTTCTCACTTATTTAACTCGTCTTCCAAAAAAGCAAATCTAGAATAAGCGTTTGAAAGTGATACTGCTTGTTAATAGCATATAATATCTAGTAAAAATCATCAGGACTGTTAGTGCTGAGGACTATTCTATCTTTTCAGTGAGTATAGTTTTGCATCTGAGCGTATTTTTCAAAAATTAAAAATTTTTTAGTACACGCTTTAGTTGCAGTCATGAGAATTGGTTGGAAGAAAACTTACGTTAAGTGTGAATTTATCAAAAATGAGATAGAAGAGCAACTTGCGCATAAGTGAGAAAATAAACTTTCGAAGAGACCAAATACTTTTGTGCGAATTTAGTTGCAAACAGACAATGCAAAAAAAGGCAGCTAGTGGAAAATTAAGAGCCACTCAAAAAGAATGATTTAGAGTAATGAGAATTTAATGGTTTAAGAAAAATAAACCAGTTAAAGCGTCAATTGATGAGAGGTGGTTTTGATTTGTTCTTAACAAAACTGATTTATTATCAAAAGCTGGTTTTTCATTAGAAAAAAAAATCTTCATTTTATGAAAATGTATATGATATTATACACTGTAATTTCAAAAAAACTTATTTTATTGGAAAAATAATTCTAACATGCTTTATTTTAATTTTTTCTATGATGCATTATACAAGTATCCTTAAAGCCTCTAAATAAATGATTCAACAAGGCTTTTACATAAGAAATCATAAATTGTAGTATTTTTATAAAAATCCTTGAGTTGTGTTACTCCTTGATTATATTTACCCATTTTAAAACAGTTTACAACAAATCTCAAACAATATGCAATATGACAAAAAGCTATAGAGATGTCTATAAAAAAATTATAGAACAAAAATAATTATATGGAATGGAAAGTCAAATAAATCCAAAAGAATTTAAGTGAAATCTACTAAATAAAATTTCAGATTTAACAAGCTTGACTTCCAGGTCTAGAATGCACATAGAAATCCATCAATATTTTAAATAGAGAATATCAAGTAGTGAATAGAGCTTGAAAACAATGTTAAAATAAATTAACTGAAAACTTATTCAATTACTTGAGTAATTTGTAATTCATTTTCAAATAATATTTTTTTATTAATTGAAAATCAATTGAATTAATAATTAAAATTTAGTTATTTGTTAAGACTTATTTTTATTTAATAAATTTAAAATTTAAATTATATATAATTTTTCAGGGTTACTATGATTGTTTTTTAGTAATTATAAAATTAAAAAAAAATGACTGAAATGATAATGATAATAATACTTAATGAAAAATTAAACTTCTTATGTTTCAAAGTTTAAGTATAGTAGCATGGAGATTATTTACAATTCCCATTTTTTATATTCAATATTGAGTGGAAATAAATTTAAATTAATAGTTCAGTTTCAAATTCAATTGATTTTCAGATGACTATTTATAATCAACCATTAAATTTTTATTTAATTATTTGAAATTCTCACAATCCTGTTTGTAATAATATCAGCATTTGATATAATTATGCTTGCTACAGAGTGAAACATAACATGGGCCTTAATTTTATAATATCTTTACTTCAAAAAGTGTCTTACTAATTTTCCATATCAATGAAGGATTGCCTATACTCATAAGCAGATTTGTATTTCATGTCTTGCCATATATTATTACAAGCAATTCTCCACCCTCGTTAAACTTGTATAAATTTGATTCATTAATGCTATCACGTCTAAAATAAAAAGGATAAGCTGGTCAAAGCAATAAACAAGTCTTATTGACTATAATATATGAATGAATATTTACTGCATAAGGAGTTTAAAATATTTGCGCCTTCATAACACATGGTGATACAAACACCGAGTAACAGTAATATAATAGATGTATTAAATAATTTAACTTGAATATAAATCACAAAAACTTGCAATTTCCAAGTACCTAGGTAATTAAAGTGGCTATAATAAAAACTTCAGAAAATACCCGATATAAATCCATAAGCAGTGATAAAAACTATCGTTTTAATGTACTAAAAATTTAAAAATACTGTCATTAATATTTTGCAATTTACTTTATTAAGCTAATCTGAGAGATTGCAAATTTGATGTTAATTATGAATAACACAGTTGAAAACAGAAATCAGATGCTTCAATAGTTAAGTATAAAATAACTCATCCTTCATGGTCATGCAAAACATTAATCACTTAATTTTTTTATTGATTATGAGCTACTGAATGGCACAAAAATGAATATGCTAAAGTGATAAAAATGGCAATCATCAATTAAGAATTATTAATCACGTTACAAAAAACTTGGTACCAATGTATAATATATAATACTATGACAATAAGTGTATAATATGACCATAGAATTGGAAACATTTGTGGAGTAGCATTTGCAAACTTACTGGATAGTACATGCCTTGAGGATGAAGGAAATATGCTCCAGATCCCCACAGTTTGAGGCCGTATTTCTACTAGGCAAAGAAAGATACTTAAGAAACCTAGTGCAGGATTATATATGCGTGGGAAAATGATTATATTATTCACAGATTAAGTAAATAACACTTTGGTTGAAATTATTTAGTTTTTTAAATAGTTTGTTTTTAATAATCATGGGCATTAAATGGTTATTATTTAGAGTTTTTTCCACAATTTAATTGCTGGCATTCATTCCAAACAAATTTCTTTAAACTGTTTTTTACATAGGTTGTAAAATTCTTTTTATTACATCAATAATATATTAATGTGAGTATTTTAAATATGTTTATAAATAGTCCAATGAAAATGTTTAAAAGGTCATTTCAAAGATCTACTATTCTCAAGCTTTTTAGTGTATATTACATAATGCTTTAGTCCATTAGATTTGATTATATTACTTAGAGTTTAATTATTATTTTTATTTTTGCATGTAATGAATAATAAACTTGATTTGGCAATTGTCAAGCAAGATATGTTTGTTACAGTTTGATTACATTCTGAAGGTATATGATTATAAAGCCTCACTAAAGGTCCACCAAGCATTGCGGAAAAGCTTGAAGTAATCAGTATTTAATGGAATACAGAATAAAACTTTACTAAAAGTAACTCGAATTAAGGTCAGTTCCTATTTCCCTATAGGTTTCGAATAAAATGAAGTAAGCACATATAAAGCCTTTATATTTCAATACAGCCTCAAAAATAACGCACATCATTGCCACTGTGAGTCGCTGTTTCGAACATACGTCAGTTAATGAACTTTTACAAAACGCATCCCAAAAATAATATGCATAATTTTAAATAAACGATGATTTTTTTACACCACCAGATTACACGCACCACTTAAATCAAACAAATGCGAAGATTTTGTGAAGATCCTGCAAAGTGATCATGAAAAAATATTCTTACAAAAGTGCTTCGTGATTTCTCTCTCACTGAAACTTTTTGCTTTTATATTACGTGTTATTAATGGCGATTAAGCGATAATCAGAGCCCTCTGTCAATTTTCTACGGCTATCATATAAGGACTTTCGAGAAGCCCAAAAATTGTTTCAGATCAGTATTAAAAATTTTAGGCAATGACTTTGAAAGTAGTTAAGTAAAACTGCAATCTAAAAGTAATTATGCTCAAAAATAGAATTTTTCTTGTAATGTTTAACTTATATAAGTTTCATACTTGAATACATTTTTAAAATCTCTTATGTATTTTCATACTCGTATAAATCGTATCCATTTTCATTAAAACTTATAAAAATTTGAAAATGTTTCTACTTTGTTTTTTTTTTTTATTAAAAAATATTTTATACATTTTTGGCTGAATATTTAAGCAAATTTCAAGTTGAAATAGTTTCTTGAATTTGTCATTACGATAACATATATGACAATACTTGAAAATGAATATGAATATTACATAATTTTTATCTGAATTGACTAATACAAACCCAAATTTTTTTATTGATGCTTAACCATTCAATATTCAACTCTGATCTTAAATGATGTACTCGTAATTGTATTCGACGATTAACATGCATAATTTAAAAATTTTTTTCACTTTGTATTTTGATCAATATTTGAATTATGAAGCACAATAAACTTGGAGGTGCATTAAAAGTGTTTCAAAATGCAATGGTAACAATTAAAAAAAAAACATTAAAATCTATTAACAATATATAATTTATGTCTATGATCAAAATATTATTTTCGGATAAATTATAAATACGTAGTGATAATAAATTACACTCCTTGAAAATATTGAATGTCAAGCGTACATTTTTTTTCGATTATGATTACAATGTGGGATGAATATAAATGTTGATTTTTCTGTCGATAGCAACATAATATAAAGATACTCGCAATCATCCTCGGTAGCCCGGTCAGGGCAACAGGTCGAACTTGAGACTTGACGACGACTTTTTCCTGGAAGCCGCGGGTTTATGCCGCGAAAATATCACCCCGCATAACCCGCTTGGCGCACTAGATCAAAATTGAACTCGGCGATGACTTTCTCCTGGTAGTAATTAATTTTTCGCGGGAATATAATCTTGGATGGTTAATTTGCTTGGGGCACCTAGTTGAACAATTTTGTAATTCAGTTTAAATTTTCTTACTTGTATTATAATTATATACTTAACACATATTTTAATTCTTTTTTAAAAAGTACATATGGAAGCAAGTATGTTAGGTTTGCCCTAATAATTGAATGCTAATTTTCCTCGAGTATTAAATTGGTAATCTCGACTTGTACACCACTGGCTATATCTCGACTATGATGTTATTGAAATCAAATTAATTTTGTCAGTTATTCGTCAAAATAATCATTTTCATTTTTTAAATTGTAAGCCTGAAATGTTTCCGATAGAGCAATTAAAACCATGGTAATACTTTTTTCAAAAGTACAGAAGGGGCAAATGTGACAGTTTGTTCATTATAATTTAAACCTACCTTTAAAATTTTTTCTTTTTCAAATTGTTGGAATTTTTAATCTCAATCCACAATTGATTAATTACAGTAGGGGCACATTGATTCGGTAACGAATTCCCATTTATGACCGTGTAAATTCGTTACCGAATCAATGTTCCCCTACTGTACTTAGCCATGTCAGTAATGAAATCAAATATATGTCCACGATAAAGCGGACTTTTTTCATAATCAAATTAAAATAGTTATAGCCACTATATTGACTATATGTTATTTATATTAAATTAAAGGAAATCGTATGAAATTTATGAATTTACACTGGAACTAGCGATAAGAAGCAAAGTTTTCAATAAATAACTGTTGAAAGTTACACGTGAAAAAAAGATTTTCGAAAAAAAGTTAAAAAAATTTTTTTTCGAAAGCTACTTTTTTCCACGGTGTCTGCGCAGAAAATATAAACGAAAACTCTCATTATTTGTCCAAAATAATTTATTTTCAGTGACTTGAAAAGTTAATTTTGACGCTACAGCGTGCAGCGCAAAACGTCCTTAGCAACGCCGGCCAACAATGGCTTTGGAATTATGCAATAATCGAATAGAGTCGATTAAAATTGATAGAAAGGCCTGCATTTCCCGTTGAATGACGATTGAAAAATGATCAACCTCTATAAACGTTAAATTTTTTTTTCTATTAACAAAGAATATCCATCGGCGGCAACGTTAAGTGCTGGATTCGTGCTTTCAGTCACCCTGGTAGCACAAACATGTGAAAAAATAATGGCGCAGATCACTAGTCAACTGATCAGCATTCAATTCAATTTCTGATCAAAGTGAATTTAAAAAGTTTTTTTTGTTAGAATTGAAAAAATCTTGCTTAAAAACTCTGTCATCTAGCCAATATAAAAGTAGTCTTAAACTACTGACCACTCAGTGCGCATACACATGGTTCTGCGTGCGGACAAGTGCATGCAAATTCTGGTTGTGCTCGATGCTCACGCACGTTATATAGTGAAACGTATTATTTGTATACGTTATATGAGCAATTCTTTAAGAAAAACGCATTTTTTGAGGTGGAATCACGGAAAATTTGTTTTTAACACTGCGTGCGCGAAACACGGGCTTTCTGACGATTTAATATCGTTTGCAACTAGTCCGCGAGGAAGTTGACTCACTCAGGAGTCTTTGCACCCTCGCTACGCTCGGGTGAAAACAACTCCTGGATGAGTCAACTGCTTCGCGCACTTTTTACAAAATATACTATTTTCAACCTACGTGGATACGGAACCCTGGGAAGTGTTTCTGAGGGTCCTGGGAACATCTTACAACGTAGGAACCATTGACATTTTAATAGTGTTTATTTTTATAGCTACTTTTGTGATTTAGAGGACGAAAAATCATGTTTTCCCGTAAATACGGCTAATTACTCAATTTTTGAGTCGCTCAAAAAGTATCAAAACTTATTTCAAAAAAATAACTGACTACTATGATAGGAAATTTTCTCAGCTTTCTGATGATGGTATCAGCTTTTCCAATACGTCGCACATTCACCCAGAAAATTGCCATGAAATACGCAGAGCTAAATACATCGAAAAACTCAGTACGGAAAAAGTGAACTTTATGGTTTATTTTTGATTTTTCCACGTGAAAATGAAATTTTTTAGAAAACCTAACTGCAGCATGAGAAAGTTGAGAAAATTTCCTATCGAAATGATACCTTCATTTATTTGTTCAGATCAATTATTGTCCAAAGAGGATTACCAAAACATTCAGAAAGTACTTGGTAAAATTATCGCAATAAATTTGATACAATTCTGCTGCACGATTGTTACTGTTTCAATATTAAGCAGGAATTGCATTGTCTGCAGAAATTAACAGGTCTATTTCTTCTGAAATTTTCTTACATTCTAGTACTTTGCGTCAGATTTGCATCAGATTCAAAAAGATTTTGCTACCAAGGCATTTTATACAGGGCAAAAGCTGTCGAAAGTAAATTTCAGTAACACAACATAACAGTAATAATTAAACCTATGAAAATATGAAATTAATGTACGCTTTGTTATATTTGTCTGGGTATGTGGTCCTGGCCTCGAAAAATTTTGATTTTTTTTTAATTGTTTTATTTGATTGTTTATACTTTCAAGAGTATTCCATGAAAATTTCAGCCCAATCTGAGCATAATTGACGAAAATATTGAACTTTTAATTCGATTACTATATGCCATCTGTGGCATTTTACGTCAATTCAATTTGTTCAGAAAATTCGTTATAAATAAAAAAATTTTCGGAAAAATCGAAATATCTCTACACCAGTACCTGCTCAAAGGGTTTATAAAGAACTGTGCAAATTTTCAAAAGGATCGATTGAATACTTTTTGAGTGACGTTCCTCACCGATTTGAAAAATCTTTGACATTTTTCAAATCGGTGAGGAACGTCACTCAAAAAGTATTCAACCGATCCTTTTGAAAATTTGCACAGTTCTTTATAAACCCTTTGAGCAGGTACTGACGTCGAGATATTTCGAGTTTTCCGAAAATTTTTTTGTTTATAACAACTTTTCCGAACAAAAAGGTCGATTTTTCATATGTCTGGACGCAATTTTAAGGTTTTTTTCGATTGAAAAAACTCTACGTCAGTACCAGATAAAACTCTTAAACTAATGAGATAATTTTGTAATTTTCGTTTCAGATGATTCTGTGAAAAGTTAAATTCCTCACCAGAATTTTCACGACTTTTCCGTAGATTTGCTCTCAAAGGTCCAAAAAGGAAAATTTTTTTATGAAATTTTCACAAAATACTCTCGAAGTCATGTACTTTCATATGTACATGGTAGAAATAAATATTTTTTTTTACTTGTAAAAAAAAAAATTGAAAAAATTAAAAAAAAACGATAAATCAGCACCAAACCCCCCCCCCTTAAGTGAGCCGTGGTAGAGAAATGAATATAGCTGGCGTAATCGATGATTGAGCGAACAAAGCACTTGTACATTATCAGCAATATGTCCGTGTTGCTGCCCCACCGAGTACCTCTAAGAAATCTAAAATCGTTCATAGCAGTTGAGCATTTCGAAAATAGATAATTTGTGTGCGCTTTGAAGCAAAGCTCGTAGTC